TTTGTACTAGCATTGTCCTTCAAGGTCAAAGAAAATTCTTTCCCACGAAAATAGTCCAATAATCCTTCTCTTTTAATCTCTCTGCGTTGCAATTTCACTAAATTCCACTAGATGGAATTTTTTTTTCTTTTTTTAAAAGGAATAAAAGCAACAGCAACAATCTTTCTTTTTCCAAAAACACTTTATCCAAAATTCCCCCTTCCAAATTCAAGAGGCAACAGTCGAATCAAAATGTTACCCTTCTTTTAACTAACTGTCGAGCTGGATAAACTTCAGAACGTCAATTCTGACAGCCCGCTCCTGGTTCAGGGCGGTGGAAAATTGCTTTATTTTAAACTCACTTCCGCAGGATTGAAAAGTCCAAATACAACCCCCCTTTTTCTCCTGCTGTCAAAGGGGGGGGTTCAGAAATCTTAGATGTTGAATTCTAGTTCTCTTAAAATTTAATTTTCAGGCTTTAGTATATTTTGTCTTTGCTTTCTTCACATAACAAAAGAACGGAAGGCGACTTCCTGTTTAGACCTTCCCATTCCGAGTCCCAATTAAGTTCAATTTCAAGTCCAATATTATTTATTTATTCACCAGTCTTAAAAGTGGTTCAGCTCTTCCAAGATCAGGTACTCACGGATAGATGTTTTAGATGCCAAATTGTCCAGGAAAAAGGCAGCGCTCTCCGATAACGGCAGTGCGGCTTTGCTGCACGGAGGAAGCAGACGACTCACAGCACCACGCACCTCCACTCCGGAGCCCGTTACCGGGCTCCTGTGCCAAGGGAGTGAGCGCTCTCGGTGCCCGCCGAGTCCCACGTCCACAGGCTTCTTCCGCCTGTGGTTTTTGAGGGTCCCCGCTGCGCCGTAGCGGCAGGACCCAAGCCTCCGTGCAGCGGGTTCCCTTCAGTCCGAAGGGAATTCCGCCATTTTCCGGAGGCGCCACCCCGGAAGTCCTTGAAGGTATTTTCATTCCATCTTAGAATCCAATGAATTCACTGAAAGTCTTTCTTAGCAGTTGCCTTTCCTTATCACCTAGGGGGCAATCCTGGCGGCAGATGGAAAAAGTAGTCATGGGGATACAGTTCCCCATGACTAAAGTAAGGTCTCAACTCCCACCTGCTTTGCTTCATTTGGCTCTGGGAGAAAAACACCTCTGAAACCCACCACAGTCCTATATGTCTCCAGCAATGCACTGTTAAGTTTTGGGCACCATGTCTGAGTCGTTGTTGTCAATTTATTTATACCCCACCTTTTCCCCTGACATGGAATCAAGACAGCTTACAAATAAAAAGAACAGCTAAAATCTTAAAGAAAAACCAATAATTAAAAAACAATTAAAATTGATAGAGTTAAGCCTATAAAGCAAACAGATAATTGCAATAAAAACAGCAAAGCACCATCCCTTTCATTAAAAGCAGTCAGTTCTCAAAAGCTTGATGGAACACGATTTGCTGTCACGTGCTGTGCATTACCCTTGAGATCCTTGAATCCAAGTGTGCTGATATCTCTCATGCCTGGCTTTCTCCTTGCAGTGGAGCAGACCTGCTAGCGGTGAATGCAGATGGGAACATGCCATATGACCTGTGTGAAGACGAACCAACTCTAGACGTCATTGAGACCTGCATGGCATACCAGGGTAAGGCCCTGTTATGAGAAACTGGAGCTTCAGGTGTGGGCTTGTGTTGCTATTTGACATCTTCCTGTGGAGGTTGAATGTCCAGTGCAGGTGACTCCAGCATCCCATCCTAGCATGGCTCATAGCAAGAATGATGAGAGCTGTAGTCCAGCTACATCTGCAGAGCTACAGGTTCCCTCATCCCTGTAAAGGAACAGCCATGCTGCTATTAGAAAATGTATTAGGGGTGGATGTGTGTTGCATCACGTGAGCAGCAGAAGCATGCAGCCTTCTAAGGCCAATATAAAACCCAAACCTTCATGGCATGGTGTGACACTGTGGAGGGTTGGGGAGGGGTATGTATTATTTGTGAGCACCCAGGCCATGTTCTCATGAGTCAAACTATTGATAGCCACCAATTTAGAGGAATTTAAAAGAGGATTAGACAAAGGCTAGGAATAATGGAAGCTGTAGTCTACCTGTTACCCTATCCCTGATCTAGCACATTAAGTTATCTTTTCGCATCCATCAAAATATTTAGGTTTAAAGTAGCTCTGTTCAGCTGCACAACTGCTGCACCAAACTTTAATTTCTTCTGGCAGTTTTGTGCCCAGTCCTGGGCAAAAGAAAACCACTTCCTGGAAGTAAACAAAGCAGTAGTCTCTCCCCATGCAGAGCTATGTGTGTGCCCTGATGTTCCCCACATGTACACCAGAGCTGCTGAAGTCAATGACTGCAGTCTAGCAGATTTATTTACGTATATCCATCCCTGTAACCATTTTGATTACTATTTGTTGATTTTTTTCTATGTGTGTAGTCTAAGGGGCTAGCTACATGTTATGTGCAAATAAAGGCATTATTAATTCTGATGCTGCTGGGTTTTTAAAAAAAATAAAAACAAAAACTGCTCTGTTTGAAACACAAAAGCAGCAGGGAGGTATGCTTAAACCCAGCCAGATGGGCAGGGTATAAATAATAAATTATTATTATTATTTTATTATTATAAACCTTTTGTCATCCAGATGTTTCTTTGCTCCAAATGCCTCCCTCTCTCATCTGACTTTCCCCCTGAAATTAAAAAAAAAAGAGGTGTTCATAAGTTGAAGCATGCCTCCTGGAACAGATTTACAGTGGTGCCTCGCAAGACGAAATTAATCCGTTCCGCGAGTCTCTTCGTCTTGCGGTTTTTTCGTCTTGCGAAGCACGGCTATTAGTGGCTTAGCGGCTATTAACGGCTTAGCGGCTATTAACGGCTTAGCGGCTTTAAGAAAAAGGAAACAAACTCGCAAGAACTCGCAAGACGTTTCGTCTTGCGAAGCAAGCCCATAGGGAAATTCGTCTTGCGGAACGACTCAAAAAACGGAAAACTCTTTCGTCTAGCGAGTTTTTCGTCTTGCGAGGCATTCGTCTTGCGGGGCACCACTGTATTGTAAAAGCCACTCTCCTATACACATTTGCCTGTAACATGTATGTTAGCCTTTAAGCTAACCAAACTATTTTTCCCTTAAATCAAATAGAACCTCATGCTGTTCCTACTCCTCTCCTTTTGCTCACTGTAGGAATCACACAGGAGAAAATCAATGAGACGCGAGCTGCGCCAGAACAGGCAATGGTTGATGATATTACAGAGATGATAGCAACAGGGCAAGATCTGAACAGGACCGATGCACAAGGTGCTACACTGGTGAGCCATATTCTCACTGAATTATTATAAGAAGCTGGCTGCCTGCCTGCCTTTGGATGTAATTGGACTTGTAAATCTTCGACATTTCCTTTATTGCTTTTTTGCTGTGGATCTTCTTGAAATGACGGATGTTCAGGGTAGACAATTACTTTTTAAGAGGGCTGAAAGGAATTTCAGTTCCAGTGGTATATTATTTTTATATTAGCCCAATCAAAGCTTTATTATTACGGTTGATGGCCAGCATTATGAAACCAGGATAAGAGAGTTATGTTGCTCTTATTTTAGTTATTTTTGTGTTTCGCCTTTTCTCCAAGGAACTCAAGGTTTTCAATAGTTCTCTCCCCCCCCTTTCCCCCCTCACAACAACCATACAAGACATGAGAGCTCCATGTTCTGATGTCCCGAAGCTTCTATTTTTAGTTTTTAAAATTACTGCAAGGGTTTCCGTTTTGATTGGCCCTGCGGCAATAGAGGAAGGGTTGTATTTTCCACAGTGGGGCAAATAGCAGCTTTGCAGGAGGGGTTTTAGATCAGGGGAATTTTGCAAGGAGGGAACAGCTAACTCTCCCTCCCTCCCAAATCTGTAACTCTTCTTAGCTGTTTTTTTATTTTAAACAAACCTTCTGTACTTTGGCCCTAGTATGAGCAGGCATTGACAACACACCCTTGCCCCCCCCCCCCCAGGAATACTCCCCACACTCTGGGTTGACCCACAGTCAGACATCTGGGCTCCTGCTGAAATATTTATCCCCCACCCCCATCCCCACCCGCCACCTTTTTACAGCCTTCCTCTAAGCAGCTCAGCTTGGTGCGCAATGAGGAGTTTATCTCACGACAGCGTCACTAAACCTCTCTGAGGGTTCACCTGAGAAGTGGTGACTAAATATACAGCACTTGTATGTGCATTCCGCCGTAGGAATTGCTCCAAGGACATCCTTCTGGCTGAAAAAAGCATCATTTCATCACTGGCACAAAATGGGAGATTCTGATCGCTAACTACACCTGGTTTTGTTACTATAGTTAGGGGTCAGGGATTAACACAACATCGCATGAACTCTTCCAGATAGGAACAGTTTGAGAGTGCGTTGGGTTTGTGTGGATCTCATCCCTTTTTGCTGTGGTCTTGGGTAACAAAACAGGTGGCTATATAGTGTTCAGTGTGAGTTAATTCTGCAAGTGAGCTTTAAATTGATTCTCACACTCATCAGTGCTTAGGAGAATGAAACCACGTTCATTTTTAATGTGGAATAAATACTGTGATGTTTAAGAGTAGGTTTATATGTTAAGAACTGCCACCACCGGCTGCTGAAATGTGGCAGGTCAGGTGTCCTAAATGAAATTGGTGTTTACAACTGCTGGTTCCCATCAAATACACAGGTTGCTGCACTTTATTAATTTTAGCATTCCATGGGACAATTGCTAGTATTGCTGTCCCTCCTTCCCTACAGAGGTGTGCCTAGCACCTTCACTGCATATTTCCATCATATGCTGAAGATGCATCTCTTTACCCCTGGCCTTTGACACTTGAGATGCATATTTTTGGACCCACCCTGATCATAATTTGTTTTAAACCATTTTTTATATTGTATTTAAAATTGCAGCAACCTTCACCAGGATCTTAAGAGTGAAGATCTGTTTTTTTGTTTGTTTGTTTGTTTAATAATATTAATATCCACTTCAGCGAGGCATTTTAATTCAGGAAAACAGTATGGCAACATAGCTTAGTTTGTAGAGCAGGAGACTCTTAATCTCAGGGCTGTGGGTTCAAGTCTCACGTTGGGCAGAAGATTCCTGCGTTTCAGGGGGTTGGACTAGATGACCCTCGTGGTGCCTTCCAACTCTGCAGTTCTGCAACTCTACAATTTTAGTACTTGGCCCTGATCCAAATGATGGTGGTTTGCAGGGGGCGGGATGTTACTGCTACACAGCTGTTCCAACAGAGGGGAAATGTGTTGGGAGATCCCTAAGACAAGTTGTTTCAGTAGCAAAATTGATAACGAAATTCTGTTTTGCACATCAAGCTCTGGCAAGGAATGCAAGGAGCTTCTCTAGCATAGCAATGCTCCATTCACTTGGAGCCCCCTATTGGTTTTGTGGAGTTCTGTCTGTTTGGCTGTTAAGGGTGGGCTATGGATGAAATGGAAAAGTCGTGGGTATTGAATTTATATCAACCCATGCTTATTTGGCTGGGCCAGTATTAGGAGCAAGAGCCATAAGGGTTGTGTCATTGGGGTAGAGCACACATTTTGCACACAGCTTCAGTTCCCAGCATCTCCAAGTAAGGCTGGAAGAGACCTGGCAGACCAATGATCTGACTTGATATATGGCAACTTTCTATGTGCTCAATGCCATACTTTGCTTGGGGCAGTCTTGATTATCCGAGCTTGGCAAAACATCTACAGATAATAAAGAGTCTTATTGCTGGCTGTGCAGGTTCAGTGCTAAGAAATTAAGAGGCAATTGCTAAGCATTTGCTTTGAGTTGGAAAGGCCTGGGAGCTGCAGCAATCTTAAGAACTCTTAATTGCTGAAACGGATGCAAAGCTGAATGAGGTATTGGTACAAGGAGCAGGAGCCCAGTTGAGAATGCAGGGCTTTGGGATGCACTTAATCCTTAAGGTCAGGCTCTAGGTTGTTTCAGACTCAATATAAAAGGCATTGCCTTTTCCTTCTCTTCTCCTTCTCCTAGTTGCATATAGCTGCAGCCAATGGCTACCTGCACGCAGCAGAGATTCTTCTGGACCATGGAGCAAGGCTGGACCTCAAGGACTGGGATGGTTGGGAGCCCCTCCATGCCGCCGCCTTCTGGGGACATGTACGTGTTTTGTTGCAAACCTTTCAGAAGAGGGCAAGACCAACTCATGAGAAGTAGTTCCTCAAAGACTTTTACCTACGATAGCTAAATAGAACCTCAATATCATTGGCTGGGGAGCAACCATGAAGAGAGCCTTATATCCTACCTGTGAGCTTCCCTGCTGTGGGGAAACAAGATGCTGCAGGACTTGACTGGAGAGCCAGTGTGGTGTAGTGGTTAAGAGCGGTGGACTCATAATCTGGTGAACCGGGTTTGCGTTTGTTGTGGGGGAGGAAGGGAATAGGAGATTGTTAGCCGCTTTGAGACTCCTTTGGGTAGTGATAAAGCGGGATATCAAATCCAAACTCTCTTCTTGACAAGGCCTTCTCCTACCTGCTCTGGCCAGGTTTAAGATGAAGTTCAAAACATATGGAGGGCACCAGGTTGGGGAAAGTTGGATTAGATGGTCTTTTGGTCTGAATCAGCAATGCTCTTCTTGCAATGCTAAGTTCATCTGTATAAAAGACATGGCCCTAGTGTTCGGAGGACTAGTAAGAATTTTGCTTTCTTTCCTTTATTCCAGATGCATATGGCAGAGCTGTTGGTGTCTCACGGCGCAAGCTTGAGCGCCCGAACCACCATGGATGAGATGCCAATAGGTGAGCTGTAATTCTGCCTCCGTTTGCACTTTCCATTCTTGGGCAAATGCATATCCTGGCTCCCCATCTGAATATCAGTCTTCTGGGGGCATGTTTTTTACACCTCCACCCCCCACAAATTGCTGAAGGGGGAAAAATCTGAACCCAAGACTGGTTTGTGCACGTGAATAAAAGAAGCTCATGTTTTCTGTTCTCAGTCCTAGGTGTTGCTGGGCTTGGAGTACTCCTAATAAAATTCAGTGTGTGATCTGGGGACCGTAGTTACCATGCAGTCTTTAGCTACATCATTGCAAGGCAGCTCAACTCAAGGGTTTGGTTTCTATTCCCTTTAGACCTCTGTGAAGAAGAAGAGTTTAAGGTTCTGCTCTTGGAGCTGAAGCATAAGCACGATGTCATCATGAAGTCTCAGATGAGGCACAAGTCCTCCTTGAGCAGAAGAACCTCCAGCACTGGAAGCAGAGGGTGAGTGAGCAGAGGGAAGCCATGTTGGGTAGATGTACATTTCCATGCCTTAGTGCCTGGCGAGTCTGAGCTTCGTAGCCGCTTAGTGGGATTTCCAATTGGCTACAGTTGACTTCTATAAGCTTACTTTCAATAAATAAAAGCAGATTCAGCAAGAAAGGCAAGAGGGCAAATGCACGCCATGATTGCAAAATTTAACTAAGAATGTGGGCTTGTGGAAATACTGATTTCCTACAAGAGATATTTTAGGAGGAAATCCTACAGTGTGATTTATCGGGGGCTAAAATTAACCTTTTCCTTATTCTTATTTTATATTGCACTGTTACCAAAATGTGTTGTTTTACAGAAGAACATAAGCAAAAATATATATCAGGTAGTTCTTGCTACCAAGACCTTACAAAAAACAATTTTATCTGTGTTAGTTTTGAAATATAGATCCAAAAAAAATGGGAGGGAGAGGCATGTGTTACAAGAAGTGAATCTGATCAAATGCAGTTGCATGTACCTAAGGATGCAGTTCTATACATGCTCTAAGTCCTTTGAACACAGTGAGATTTTCTTAGGCCTGCATAGGATTGTGTTGTGTTGAATGTGAGAACTAAGGGGTTAAGGATTCTCAACCTTTTTCTATACCTACAGTATATTGAGGGAAGACGCACAGTTTACTAGCATGGAATGAGAGCCACCTACTGACCATTTAGCATCATGGGAACTAATGCTTTAGTTATGAATTATGAAGCAATTACATGTCCTAGACAAAAATATTATAGCAGATTTGCATATTTGCCTATCCACAATAATTTATGCAAGCATTTCAATGAATTCAGTTGCTGCTGAACCAAGGCAAAAGTTGACAGATTTCAGGCTTGCACATGGGATCTTTTGAATTCTTTTTACTACTGTCCTGAGATTCACAAGCTGCAGTCTTATGTAAAAGATATACTCTTCGGCCAATTAAAGAATTCTGAATTTGAGTAACAGAACTTAAAGGAACTCACAGCCTTTCCATGCAGAACTCCACTCCTGGGCTCTTGATTTCAACAGTATAACTTAGGGTGTAAGGGGAGTCATTTTGCTGCTGCTATTATTAAATATAACTGGGAGTCAGAATCCGTTGCTTATAACCTCCAGGTTGGATTACTGCAGTATGCTATATGTGGGGCTGCCCTTGGCCCAGAAGCTGCAGCTAGTGCAAAATGCAGTGGCTTGGCTTCTCACTGGGGCAGGCTATCGCCACCTTGTTATGGTGCTGCTGAAAGGATTGCAATCACTGCCAATAAGCTGCCGGGCTAAATTCAAGGTGTTTGTTCTTGTGTACAAAGCTCTATGAGGGACTCGGGTGGCGCTGTGGGTTAAACCACAGAGCCTAGGACTTGCCAATCAGAAGGTCGGCGGTTTGAATCCCCGAGACGGGGTGAGTTCCCATTGCTTGGTCCCTGCTCCTGCCAACCTAGCAGTTCGAAAGCACCTCAGTGTGCAAGTAGATAAATAGGTACCGCTCCAGCGGGAAGGTAAACAGCGTTTCTGTGTGCTGCTCTGCTTCGCCAGAAGTGGCTTAGTCATGCTGGCCACATGACCCGGAAGCTGTACGCCGGCTCCCTCGGCCAATAAAGCGAGATGAGCACCGCAACCCCAGAGTCAGTCACGACTGGACCTAATGGTCAGGGGTCCCTTTACCTTTACCTTTACCTAGCTCTATACAGCTTGGGATAAGGGCATCAAAAATATTGCCTCACCCCACCTTAGAAAAATAACAACTTTGAGTCATGGCTGGGAAAGGTGGGTGTGCTTAGTCCAAAGTGGCCTGGTGGGTCAATCTCTGAAGTCCCATAGGCCCAATCACTATTACTATTACTACTACTACTACTACCACTAATAATAATAATAAGTACAAAGGGTGAAGGGTACTTTCCTTATTAACAAGGCCTGAAGATGCTTATATGCAACTTATATGCAACTTGGTGAAATATTCTGAAGGGCTGTTCACAATGGGAATGTAACTTCAGAACGAAATATCTGCTCCACTTCAGTGATTATCCTCTTCACAATCCTTCTCCTCTGTCCTTTTTTCCTCAGGAAAGTGGTACGGAGGGCAAGCCTTTCTGACCGAACCAACCTTTACAGAAAGGAGTATGAGAAGGAGGCCATCATCTGGCAGCAAATAGAATCTTCAGAAGAACAGAGGACCTCTGGCTACAATGGTGACATTAGAGAGTCTTGCTCCAACCAAGAGAACACAGATCCAGTAAGGGGCAAAGTAATAACTAACTAATCCTTCCCTTGGAGTGAAGGTATTTCCAGTGCTCCAAAGTAGTGTGGAAGTTTCGTTATCCCAATTTTGGCCATTAAATCCTGCCGTCCAGTCAGCGCTTCCCTGCATAGTTCTGCTTGGGGCTGACCTGGGCAGGAAAGCAGAGTCGCAGCAGTCCTGCCATCCGTGTGAGATAGAGGGATAAATCAAGTCCAGAGACAGTTCGTTGCTATCTCTAAAAGCGTTTATTTACAAGCCATAAATCCATCAGAACTTTCCGGCATTTCTTCGTGCTAAAAGCACACGCAGCTTCTTTTGCAGCGTCTCTCAGTCTAAAGTGAAACCAACTCTCACAGACAACACAGACAAAGCCTGTGATGTACGGCCCTGCCCTGCGTCAGGCCATTCCCCAGATACAGGACACCAAGGAGTTTTAACCCTGTAAACTCCAAACTCCACACCAATAGCCTATGCTCCAACGTGTGCTCATCTATCGCCTCATGCTGATCTCATGGGAGTGGTCCTCTTCCCCTACCCTGCCAATCCTGGAAGGTTTTGGATAACTTGACAAAAAGAATGGAAGCAGACTGCCCTGTGTCTGCTTATCGGCTTATGAAT